GGGATCTTATCTACTTCTGTAATCTCCCTTCAGCAAACTCTGTTCTGAAAAGATGCTCCCTGTTGAAACTGTAGTTCACTAATAACCTTAATTTACAGTTGGTGTGTCAGTGTGCTGTGCTCCAGCCTGAGAAACTGCTAGTTTTAAGTGAGATATATTGCTGCTATGCGAATTTTGACCTGAGAGGTTACTGTTCTTTTTTGGGTATCACTATTGTTTATGTCACTGTGGTATCTTTTCTAATGGTTCCTCTTTGCTTTTAGGAGTTTCATATTTCAGAGGACTTTAATAAGATGAACTTTGTGAAGACCTATCCAGGTAAACTGTTAGCCAGTGTCTAATAATAATCTAACTAATATTTCTGTGAAGGGGAGGTATCTAAAATGTTTGGGAAACTAATCTGTGACAGTGTCCAATCAAGACTAAATGCATTTTAAATCTACTCACCTTCTAGTTGTCACCTAGCTGGGGATAACTGCCTTAAGATAAGTGTTCTGTTATTGAGTAATCTTCAGTCAGCGAGTCTGAGTCGCAGTCATTATCATTAAGTTCAGTACCTCGTTAGCCTGTGAGTGTAATGAGTCAGAACTAGTGAGTTCAGATTTGCTCTTCAAGTGGAGCAGTTATACTGCATGATCATGTAAAAGCTTTTTAAAGATGCACTTTGGTATTTGCAATTTCCATCCTTTCTGTAATCACCGGGCTCGGTTACTTCCAGCTGAAGATAAGAATCCTTGCCTCTTCTGTCACCTTAGAAGAGCAATGGGGATGAGAAAGGTCTTATTTTTCCAGTACCTGGGGAATAGAGATTGTTCTAATATTTATGGAGAAGCTGATTTGAGCATTTGTCTGCACATACTTAAAAGAAGTACAAAACTTGATTACTGGTTAAAATTGGAATATTAATGTGAAAGGCCTGAAGGAGACTCTCAGACTGCAGATGTAGTGAAACAAAGTGCAGGTTGTCTTCTGGCTCCCTGGCAATGATAGAAGCAATGTTCTTGCTTAGGAGAAAAAGACCTTGTTCTTAGAGCAACACAACCTTCCTTTATCCTAAGAAGATGACTTGACAACTCAGTCAAGAGAAGTACTTGTCTCTTCTGGGGCAGGGAATGCTCCTTTCTGATGCTGACCTGAGTGCTCGCTTAGTGGTGGCACTCTAAACAAAGTTGGGTGGGATTTGGTTGCTGTCACAGGTAGCAGTTTAAATGCTGTGGACTAGATATACTTTCAGATGCTTAAAAGCATCAATCTGAGCATAGCTCCTCTGGGATCAGGAAAGGAGGTGCTTAAAGCAATTAAGGTTTTTACATGTGTTACATTCTCCCGAAAAGTCCTGGCCTAAGTAGAGGAAGCTGAGGATTTGCCTGCTGTTTAACCAGAGCATCTTGGGTATCCGGGCTGAACTCAGTTTCCCTCTCTGTGAGAGAAAGACTTAAATTAACTGGCTGACGAGTTTGGTTCAGTTAAGCTATTCAGAAGGCAAATACCAAACAGAACAATGCTAACCTTTAAATTCAGCCTAGAGGCAAGTATACCATGATGGTACAGACATCTCCCTGGGGCATTGCTTAGATATCATCTTCAACCTGTGTCTCTCTGAATTAGAACATAAGAACACAGTACTTTGATTTTTAGGAAAAACTAGCCAGAATATTTTTCTTCCCACAGCTCATCAGAATCGAGTGTCTGCTATTACTTTTTGCCTGACGTCAGAGTGGGTTATCAGCACTGGTCATGACAAGTGTGTCAGCTGGATGTGCACCAGGAGTGGAAATATGCTTGGGAGACATTACTTCACCTCTTGGGCTTCATGTCTACAGTATCCTTTGAAAAATGACTGCTACCCTGAAACTGGAAGAGTACTTTGTTCCTTTAGCTCAATTTGTTCCCTCTGTTTCATAAAAAACAACAAACCTGGAGTAATCTCTTGCAAGTCTGCAAACTGATTCTGATTAGATGTGTAGTATATTTATTTCTGTTAGCTGTTCGTAGATAGTTGAAGGGCACATTGTGACCTTGAGCTACAGAAACTGCAGCGTGTACTAGTTCCTAATACTGATGTTGTCTGTAGCATCTCCTCAAAGTGATTTTTGTAACTGTTTCTATAGCCTGGCCTGTATACTTCCTAGGCAGGTCACTTTGTTCAACAGATGCCAGTGTGTATGTGAAACCTTCTGGAGTACAAAACACCATGCAAACCCTTTGGGCTGCTTTCATTTTTCTGTCTTTGCTCATGTTAATCTTTTCTATCTTTAAGCTTACAGGGTATGTTGAAACTTTATTCATTACTAGTAGTAATTTGTCTGTGTGCAGTTTACTTCCCTGCAAATTGCTTTTAACTGCAGCACTTGTAGCTTAAGAACTCCAGTTGTCTACCCAGCTGTGAGTACTTCAGGGCATTTTTTTTATCCTATGTAAAATACTTACATATTTACAGTAGCTTAAAGTGTAGTTCATATATCAAAACTTTTGAGCACGGGTTTAATGTTAAAACTATTTTTAGCACTTGTTAATGGTGGTAGTTTGGATGTGGCCTGACAGTAACTGGTGGTGCTGGCTGGTGTATGAGGCTTAATGACAGTAATGCTGTAGAAGTGGCATGATTCGAGAGCTGAAAGAGGTCGCCTACATCTCTTGAAAAAATAAAGATGTCTCTAGAATTGCTATACGCCTGTGAAGTGCTAAGAAACTAAATGCCTGGTTGCCAGCAGCATGGCAGCTAAATGCCTGGGTGCCTTCTGAGGTCTCCGATCTGTGCAGGCCCTGCCTGTGACCGAAGAGCTGCCAAGTTTGTATTGTCGTCCTGTTGCTCTTTCTTTGCTGTCCCTGTTCTAGAGTTCAGGGGGTTGTGTCCCACAAAACATGTCAGGTACAGCTCTCCTCACTGCGGGGTGGATTATCTCATGGCTTCTCTAGTGGCTTTCTGAAACATTTCTCACTTATTCTCCATACTGTCTTACTTGCACATGTAGGAAAGGGTGAAGAGAGGAATGAAAAAGGTTTTACTATTATGATGTCCGCCTGCTTTAGAAGTAGTTATGTAAATGTTTATCTGGCATATTAAAATGTTCTTTTCCAATTTCTTTAGGCTCTGTAGCTGACAGCTGTGGTGTCTGTTTCAGTCCTGTGAAATACCCTTAAGAGTAAATGAGGCTTCTCCTTGACTGGTGTTCAGATACGATTATGAAACTCAGCATGCGTTTGTTGGTGATTATTCTGGACAGATCACTCTCCTGAAGCTTGAGCAGAATACATGCTCGGTTATCACAACACTCAAAGGGCATGAAGGTAAAGTAACTCTTCCTCTTAATTCCACACAACCCAGATTGTAATATCTCAAAACCCGCCTGGACGTGTACCTGGTCTGGTGATCCTGTTCTGGCAGGGAGGGTGGACTGGATGATCTTTCGAGGTCCCTTTCAACTCCTCATATTCTGTGACCTCTTTGTCAATCAAGATGAGACGTTCAGTTGGGTATCTACCTCTTAAGGATGATAGATATTGGGTAAACAGCTATTGCAGGGAAGTAGTTATCAAAAGCTGTTCAAAACTGTACACATGACCAGACACATTTTTGCTGAGGAGAAATCTCAGCCCTATAAATACTAACAGGTGTTTTTATTATAGATGAAGAATAAACATATGCATTCAATTAAACACAAGTTATCCACTAGATGGCCACCTTTAAAAACTGTAGTCTCCTTAACACTGAAAAGAAAGGACAAGAATGTGTTGCCTTTTCTTTTTTCCTCTAGAGACATTGTAGTACTATATAATAATACCTAAAGCAGCTTTAGCAACCCCTAATCTGGATTCTAAAAAGTTACTTAATTCTTCCCAATGCAGACTTTCCTGTCCTGATCAGTCTTTGAGAGACTAGTTCGGTTTGCTATGTTTAGCTGAAACTAAGCTGTATGCAAGAAATCTGGACGGCCTTTTAGAATCCAAACTGTCTAGTCAAAGGCAAATGTCTCATGCTGTGTGGTATAGCTGAAGTCCTTATATCAGGCGGAGAACCAAATAGTCTGTAACGCTATACGGAGCCACTGTCTGCTGTGATGAGTAAGGCAAGAACGCAAATCACAGAAGACTGTGTAATTTAATAATATGCTTCAAGAAATAAACAAGACCTAATGCCTCTTCCCATGTGGTATTGGCAGCTTTTAAATCATCTGACTAGTTTGCACAGGGGTGAGTTATTGCATCATAAGTCTCTGACCCGCTGGAAAAGGCTGCTTTGTTTAATAGCTGTAAGTATAGAGTAGACTGGTAAGGCTGGGCAGACTCCTGATTCACAGATGACTGTAAAATGATAGAGTTGGCTTTGAACAAGGGAGGCACGTTGAGATTTTCAAATGATTCTGCTTTCAAGCAGAATTTCAGATTGTTTCAGTTGAGTAAAAGAATTCTTCTGGCTCTAGAGACTCTTTCACTTCCCTGTGCTTTTGCACTAGGCTATGTCAAAATGCAGCTCCTTGACAGATTGTATTGTTAGTCTGAAAGCAGCAGGTCTCCACATGGGACTGTGTGGAGTCCGTATTCGATATGTTGACTTGCGGTGGGCTTCCAGACACCTACTTCAGCAGCACTGTCTGCATAGACAACTTTGGCTTGTGCATAAGTTCCCTAAGGGGTTTGTGAGCCTCAAAATAAGAACTGACGTGGTATAGAAGCTGGTTAAACTTGAGAGACAGAAACAAGTTTTTCTTCAATTGCTGTAAAAGTAGCTCCTTCGTGTTTTTTCCCTTTTTTCTGTTTTTGTTTGTGGTGGTTTTTTTTAAGGCAAGACAGATGATATGTAACTTTTTTTTTCCTCCATGGTATCTGTGTAATATTCTCAAGGCCTGGTAACTCTAAACTCAATTGATATCTCGTTCTTCTCTGAGTGCAGCTGTGTTTGCCAGACTTCAGAAGTCTGACTTCATCTTGTTTCCTTTCCAGTTCTTGCCTAACTGTGAATTCATAAACAAGCAGGGTTTGCTTTGCAGTTTGAATGGTTTTAGAACTCGTACTTCAACAGTCAGCTTCCACAATTTTCCATATTTAACAGCCTACTCTGCAATGCTGAGATAATACCCAAATGGCCTTTTATGGTGCGGATGGTCACTGTTCTCTCAGAGACAACTATTCCAAAATGGGTCAGTCTGAAAATGGGGTAGCCCTAAATGAGGCAAGAAAAAATCTCTTGCTCCAGAAAGCTGGAGAGGACTGACTTGGGCTGTAATTACCATTCATCTTGCTTTCAGACTAACAAGGCTTCTGATGACAACTGAGCAATTGAAGCATGCTTTGCAGGGAAGGGTTCTGTAGGGAA